GCTGTGAGAAAAGTACATGGTTTACAATTTGAAGTAGATGTGGTTCATCTTGCTGGTATGATGGCCTATGAATGTATCTGCTTTGTAGGAGAAGGAAATTCTCTATCTCTTGGTGACATTAATAGCCTATTGGTCTCCAGTGTAATGATGATCATCAGATGTGCAATTCTAGGTCTTTGTCTGACCACCCAGCTCAGACCTTTCTGGCTCAGACTATCTTGTGCATCATCCCTTTATGCCCATACCAGAACAGAGCTGCTACAAGTGGTGAGTAGTTTTACAAGCTCACCTACACTGGGAAAAGACCATTAGAATAGTGTTCTAAAATTTAGGAATGGGAGCATATTACCAACTTGAGAATGACTTTTAGGTGTAGTAGTGGTTATCTTTACTTTCACTTGTACCTACAAAAATAGAAACTCTGTTTTTCTAGTGCTTGAAAGATGTCCAGATCAAGAACACAAAGATAAAGTGTCCAGAGACCCTAAGTCTGCAAGTAAGAGCATGCATAAGAAAGAAGATAGAGTTGAAGACAAGAGGTCTATAACTGGCAAGGGATAGAGCTGATAGAGTTGTGGATGTACACAGAAGAACCTCTGTAAAAGTCCGGCTGGGCAACACTTTTGTCTAGTTTTCTCGCCTTGGTACAACCCCTGCCCAGCTAAGCCTGACTGCCTACACACCGCTGCTGCCTCTGTGAGCTTTTACGTTGTTTTGCTGATTCGTGTTCCCCAGAGTGCTCTGCACAGGGAAGGGCTGAAGTTGCGTTGCTCACCTGGTCAGTCTCCATCTTCCTAAAGCAGACCCAGGCGAACATATGCAAAATAGCAGTGGAGGAACACTGAAGCTTTACCATGTGAATGAGGGAAGGTGGTATTATAACACCACTGCTCTATCACTTTTATTCCAGTTTTCTGCTAGCTTACTACACTTTGTACACCCTTGGTGGAAAACTATATGGAAAATACCATAGTTGCAGTCAGACTAAGGGACCTCTTTCTGGCAGCTAAGTAGGAAACCCATGTAAGATACTGAGCAACTGCAGAGTTCTCTTTTTTGGTAAGTTTCATCAGCTCCCTCTGAGCTGCATTCAGAGTGTTGATCATCAGGCAGTCACTGTACATTCAGCAACTAAAAATAATACTATAACTTGAAAGGAATTACCATAACTGTGTGTTATATGTAATTATGTAACTTTATAGAATGTAATTATTTTTTTTTCCCTGATCCTCCTTTATTCTACCATGGTATTTTAAATCTGTCGTAATACAAGTCACCTGATCATCTGGGCAGTTTTATTTTCTTTCTGTCCCAGAAGCCCTTTGAAACCACATGAATATAGTAACTTTGCTTAAATTAAGTCTTACGTAAAGTTGTGCAAATACTGACTAATTACACTTATTAATTAATTTTACAGACAACTTACATTATAAAACCTTTGAAGTGAGGTAGGGTAAAGGCAGAGCAGTACCTGGCTAGAGTACTTGTGTTTTGTGTCTGTACTTTGTAGAAGCAGCAGAAAACATATTGGGTAGTGTAACCATAGTGCCAGATGGTCTGAAGGTATTAATATTTGTAAGTGTCTAGAGTTGTGTTAGTGTGGAACTTGACAGGGTGCAGCTAAACCCATTAAATAGTGATTTCAGGATTTCAAGGAAGACTGGATTTTAAGGGCAAAGTAAAGCATAGCTGACAAATTTTGCTGAAACTGAAGTAAGAGCATTCCAATTGCCTTTTTAGACTATTCAGAGTTGAGGAGTCAGCTCAGCAAAATCCATTTGTGACATCTTCCCTGAGAAATAATTTTGTTGCAGAAAGCAATAGCATGTGTTCAAGGGGAAGGATGATTAAGGAAGTGGAACATCTCCTGTATGAAGAAAGGCTGAGGGAGCTGAGTCTCATTAGCTTGGAGGAGACTGAGGGGCGACCTTATTAGTGTTTATAAATATGTAGAGGGCAAGTGTCAGGAGGATGGAGCCAGGCTCCTCTCAGTGATGTCTAGTGGTAGGAAAAGGGGCAATGGGTACAAGCTGAAGCATAGGAGGTCCCACGTAAATGTGAGGAAAAACTTTTTAACTGTGAGGGGGACAGAGCACTGGAACAGGCTGTCCAGTGAGGTTGTGGAGTCTCCTTCTCTGGAGACATTCAAAACCTGCCTGGACACGTTAGTGTGTGACCTATTCCAGGGGATCCTGCTTTGCCAGGGGGTCGGACTAGGTGATGTCCCTTCTGTTTCCTAATGTGTGATTCTTTGATTCTGTGAAACCGGGGACAACAGACAAGTGGGGCAATGTTAATTGCAACTAATCTGTCCTGCTGCAGGACTAATATTTATCAAGGCATGTCAAAATGGAAGAGGGTTTGAAAATATAGAAAGGGACGATTCAGAACAATTCTTCTCATAATCATCAAATACTTATCCCATGTTGATATAAAGTGTATGTATCTTCATCCTTCTAAAATCCTTTGTATGTATAAAATATTATCACAATGTACTTATTGCTAATTCATCACTGATACCTAGAGTGATTAAATCAACAGTAGTCTTCCCATGTCATGAAAGTGTATTACGTTCTGCTCAAGGCATAGGTGATTAAGCAGAGTCACATCAATTTTATTGCATGACTTTTTTTTTCTCTTTATTTTGTTAAATTTATTTTTTATTGCTGCAGCAGCTGTTGAGTCATATTTTTAATTAAGACTACCCATAAAGTTGTCACTCAGGTAAGTGCCACTGAGAAATTCAGTGGCCAGTTTCAATCTAAAAAAACCTTCCAGGCCATTTTCAGGATCCTGCCTGGTTGTGGTTGCATGATTATTGTTTTGTTTCTTAAGCCGAGGTACTGCTTTATAAAACTGTGTCACTGAGATATTTTAAATCCATCTGGATGATAACTGGTCACTGGGCTAAGGAGGAATAATAAATACAGAAGGTTTTGTGTCACAGAGGGAGAATAAACTCTCACAATAACTATTTTGTGCTTCTGACTACTGCATCTTAAAGCAGACTTAGCTGTATGGCACGGTCTCAACAGCATGGACTTACTGATTTCTATCTTCATAGAATGTATTGGGCTGGAAGGGACCTTTAAAGGCAATCTAGTCCAGCCTCTCCTGCAGTGCACAGGGACCTTTAAAACTAGAGCCTGGTCAAGTCTGACCTTGAATGTTTCCAGGGGTGGGGCCTCAACCACCTCACTGGGCAGCCTGTTCCAGTGCTTCACTACCCTCATTGTGAAGAACTTCTACCTAAGTTCTGGTATGTGCATTTGCATACACTTTGAACAGAAGCTGCAAGAGGGAGTGGCTGTGGCATTCGTGAAAGAGTGAAAGTTGCAGAAATACATTACAGGATTATGCTACAAATGTCTTCTGCTCCTGTCACAAAATATAGCAAGCAAAGGTTGGACTAATTGTTTAATTCTGTACTCCCTCAGCATAAGACGCTGTACCTTCAATTTGCTATGCTATTAATAATCTATATGGTAGGAAGCCTCTGGTATTAACATTATGCATGTGCTATTTTGAACACAAGATTTGTAGTACAGTTTGAAATGCAGTGTAGTTTTAGGGATGTAGCTTCATTTCAGTTTAAGGGCAGCAGCTGATTAATCCTGCAAAAGATGGGTTGAGAAAAATAGAGTACAAACATAGCCCTATAATCTGTTAAAAAAGTTCAGGAGATCCTTAGAGATCCAACCCTAATTCAGTCACCTGCGATTTAGGGAAGAATCAGGAAAACATTTGCTCATGTAATGAATATTTGATGTTCGCATCAAGTAACAAGTAATTTTCTGATTGCTTTCTAGGAAACATGGTGATTAGTGGGCATCTTGATGGTGAAATTTAATAAAGGAAAAAAGAACATTTCAAAAGACAGATTTCATGTTTGTTTTTTATATTTCTAAAAATCATATCTGTTGACCTAGGTTATGCTGACTTTATTTGCCTTGAAAGATTGATAAACTACCTATCTCACTGTGGCTAATGCCGTTTCTATTTTACATGCAACTCATTTAAAGATGAATAAAATATAAATATATACTATATATATAATATATATATTTATATACTCTATAATATATATGTATAAAGTATAAATATATACTATATGTATATTCACACTCTTTGAAAAAGCTATATTCTTCAGCAGCAAATTCTGGATATGAACAATGTCTGTTTCTATGTAAATTTGAAACTGTTCTGGAATAGCTTCTTGGCAGTTTTGTTGAGCAGTTTGCATCTCTGAAGGACAGCGGTTGAAGTGCTAAAAATTTATGAAATGTAAGCTCAAGCCAAGTATTGAAAATAAATGGAATTTCAACTGAGAGGCTACATTATGTAATGTTTGAAGCATAGCCAGGCTCCAGCTTCAGGCCTACTCAACATTAATGGAAGTGTGGTAGAAATTCTGTAAATGGTAATACCTTGAGTCACTGAACTTACTGTTTGTCCAGCTGCATGTGCTTGGAAATCGATGTCTGAATGCTACAAATCTGCTGTACACTTGATACTTAATTGAGATCTGATGAACCCAATGTAAACTTTTTCAGGGATTATGATTAGCATTAGAGCCACCAATAAACTTGATACATGTTATGGATTACTCCAGTGGCATGATCTTCAATACACCATGAACAGAAGTACAAAAAATTTACTTAAACTAAAAATTTTTTCCTACATTAACTATATTAAAGAAGTAGGAAGGGTAAACATAATTTAGAAGAATTCAGACATACTATGCTGAATGTTCAAAGTCCATATCTAACTTGCTAAATCTTAAAAATATGCAAAGCTTAATTAGTAATGCGTTGGTTTTTTTAAGCTGGTTGTAGAATGTTATTCCTGGTAGGTGTTTTAAAGTGGTATCTCTCTTTTTCAGACAAGATCAGGTCAGTGTTCTGTATCAGAACATACACATAGCAGAACCAAGATTAATCCAGCCATATGAACATGTTATTAAGAACTTCATCCGAGAGATCAAACTTCAAAGCACAGAGATGGAAACTTTGGCCATTGCGGTAAAAAGGTATAGTAAGTTGTGTTTGTTGTTCACTTAATGCAGTTACTTTTTTCTCTCTCACACTTTGTTGGGTTAAACTAGTGGGAGTTAATACCAAAACATGTAATGCAGATTATTTCTATAAACAGAGTTCAAAGGTTAGTTTTTAGGCATGCACATATGCAGAAACACCTATAGCAGCTTAGAGATTATTCCCTGTTAATGTTTTGGGTAGGTCCTGGATCAAATTTTTGCAGGCTGTATTCATATGCTTAACGTCTTAAAAAATGTGACTCCTCTTCCTTGAGTGCAACTTTGAGTTTTAGTATATTTTCCCATTATACCTTCATTTTATAAACTATATTCTTGCTTCTTCAGCTACCAGAGGTGTATTTACCTGTTGTAAATACTTGGCATTTGCGATCTCACATCATTACTGCCAAAACCAAACAAATTAGCTCAGAACAGAGATCTTGTATATGTGCATGTTGCAAGTTGCTGTAGTTATCTTTTTGAAGTCTCTTCATAGGATAGCCAGAGGGACCTTTTGTCTCTAACTTAATTTCCAAAGTGCAGATGTGATGTATTTCGTACTAATCATGGGCTGTCTGCTGCTCTTTAAAATCTAATTTGCCTGTATCTTCAAATTCATTTGTGAATTTGTCTCCCAACCATACCATTTTCACGGTCTGGACAGTTTGAGGCTGTTTCCATGTCTGTCTGTCTGATCTGTTTCAGCTGAGGTAGACAGATGTGTTTCACAACTTTTCTCTCAAGCCAGAGGGTAATTCCTAAGAGTGTATTTACTTTTAAATTTTAGAGCTCAAGATAAAGCGGCAGTTCAGCTCAGTGAGCTGGAGGAAGAGATGGAACAACGGATACAGGCTGCAGAGCATAAAGTTAAAAAGGAAGTGAGTATTTTATATTTACAGAATGTTGTAATTGCCAAACTCTCAGTGGTCTTAAACAGGATAGATGGCTAGGTGCGTTTTTGATCCTGATGGACTAACTCAAAGCCACTAAAGGCAGTGTCTGGGTGAAGAGAAGCTACTCATGAGACTGAAAATGTATTCTCTTCATGCTTTCCCAAGGAGGAATGGCTGCTCATATATAATAAATCAAGAAAAAAAAAAAAAGTCACTTTTCTTTGAGAATATGACGGCCTAGAGGAATTTATTTCTGAGACTAGTATTGGAAACAGATTGGAGAAAATAACCTTTCATCATAAAATAATAGAACCTAGTTCTTCTAGGACATAAATTTACGCAGAAATTAATATTTTGAACATTTGTTCCCAATCTGTATATCTGCCTGGAGTGGTGGTCTGTCTTTCCCCCATTCTCATCTTCTACCTCTATTTGAGAGTTAGGGATGTAAGAGAGGATAATTGTGATGACAGTATGTGAGTGCCTGGACCTCCCAATGTTGATGTGAAATTCTGTTTCAGTGTGCTCAAGTTTTAGCTGTTGTTTCAACCAACTTGCAGTCTTGATGGAAGAGTACAAGAGTCCTCTTCCCCTTATTCCTGGAAAGACACATTACAGCCACATATGGCTGTGTAATTCCAGGCAGAAAGCGGTACAGTAAAACTACACCACCTGTATTGTCTCCTTCATGTTGAACTCTTGCTAAATTAACTACGATTAACATAACTGTAATGTGTATAAGAGTAACATTATGTGAAAGTGTTCTAATGTGGACATAAATTAATTTATTAAAAACATAATACTGTGAGCATAATTACCATTTTGTAGAACACAATTTATTGAAAGTCTGTGTGTTTGGTACAGGTTATTTCACCAATGTGTTTGCAGAATCAGAAGCAACAAAGTGCGTGGTCTGCCAACTTGCTGATTTTAAATAGTTCTCAGTAATTGACCTGTGAAGGAAAATGATATTCTGATAGATGTGCTTCAAACATCGTCTTTTTCTGTACAGTAGGAAGCACTCCTACCAAACCATAAGTCAGCTGTTTTCTTAGAAATAAAATATAATGATGTAAAAATGTTAAAGTTTTTACACCAGCAAAATAGCATATCATAATATGCCTAACTGATGATAGTGCAACTCTCAATACAGATAAACTTTCCATTTCCAGAGACTGAGCATTTATGATTAGAAAATAAATTAATTTGCTCTGGAAAATTTCTGTTCTGCAGAAAGTGGTAAATCACTGAAAAATCCCTGAAGTCTCTTTTTCACTACTGTAAAAAGATGACTGGGATGTGTGTGTTCACTCATTCTGAGGACTTTCATGGTTATGTACTAGCATTATGTAAAACCCATCTGCTATGTGTTATCTTCATCTGGTAGGTGTTTCTCATGCTAAAAAGTCCTCAAACTGTCATCAAATTGTGTGGATTGTGTTCACGCAACTGTTCACACCTAACTATAGATATGAAGGATGGGCTGTATCTTGTTTCATGCAGCACTCTTAATTTTCACTCATAAATGTTCTCTTTAGCTTGTAGCTCCACATACTCCACCTACAAAACGCCCTGAAAGTAAATGTAAGATATTTACTTTGTGGGATTGTACTAAATCATTAATCATAATGCCTGCAGTCAAGGCAATTGTTTGTTAAGAGTGATCTCACTCATGCCACCGGGACACCTGCATCTGCATGATACTATCTGTAGGTTGAGCCTATCCTATATTTTGTTTCTTCAAGGGAAGCAAATAGTTACCAAACATTACCTAGGAGTATATAGGTGCCAACAGTAAAAGAATCTATCTTAAGCTGATTACTTTGATTATCGCTTTAACACATGGATTATAATTTTACCAGACAGATGTCAGCATCACCTACAGGAAAGCACTGAATTCTGAGCAAGGTCCATGTCTATCTTTTCTGTGTGAAAACTCAACATATCTCACTGACATCATGTGTCACCGCTGTGTTCTGGTTTCTTGTATTCTGAAACTGTCTATTAAGTTCTTGGAGAGTGATGGGAGTGAGTTGAACACTTGGTCATCTACAGCATTTGAAATGTACTGTTCTTCCCATTGTGCTTGGTGTAACTTTCTTTCAAAATCTGTTTTGATAAAAATAAAACTCGGTGTACTTTGTCTGATATTCAGGTCAAGTACCATAGGAAACTAAAGATACTGTCATCAGCATAACTTTTACTGGAGGTGGGCATGTAATATGAAACATTTGAAAGCAAAAAAATGTACAAAAACCCCCAGAAATAAATAGCTGATGGTGGCACAGTAATGTTCCTACTAGCACATTGTATTTTTAGGCATAGAGGTCTGGCTTGAAAGAAAACATGTACTGTCCTGTTTTTTGTGCTGATGTGTCTATATACCTCTCTATATGCAAAACATACCTAAATCTATGTACAAGTAAAATGTGAACACTTTCATTTGTATTTTTTTTTTTTTTTATGTATGACATTGAAACTGTTAAGCATGGGAGACTACGACATGAGTAGCAAACAATTCACCCACTGTTTGCTTCCACATTACCATTTTATGTCTGAATATTTTATAAGTTGACTGCAAGTACAGAATTGGGTACCTGTGGATCCTAAGGAAGGGGCAGATTGATGTACTGAAAAGACAAAATTACACACATTAGTCTAGGGGCAAATTTTGTGGTTTCCAAACTGATGAATGTCCTTTTTAAGAAACATTTGAAACCTGTCTCAACTTCTAATGAGATAAAAAAATATTGCAGGAGAAGCGAAAAGCTGAAGAAGCACTAAATGAACTGAAGCACCAGTATGATACTGAAGTTGGGGATCTTCAAGTGACAATAAAAAAACTAAAAAAAGTGAGTTGAAGTAATTGGAAGATCTTTTTAAGGTGTTTTAAGAGTCAATGACCTTATGAAGTGCCTTCCCCAAGATGGATAATCATAACTGTAGTTTTTTTAATTTAATGTGTATTAGTAAATGGACACTGCAAATACTTTTTTAGATTGTGTTGTCGTTCTGTGCTGTTACATTTGTTCTGTGGCATTTACGGAAATGTTTAGGAAAGGGACCGACTGCTAGCCAAATGCTGTTGCCAAAGTATTTTCTATATCCATCAATTTGTAAATACTGCAATTGCCTAGTCTTGCATTTGGTACATCAGAAATAGCCTAATATATTGCTTTTAAGTATTTATAATTCATAGTTTTAGATGAATTTGGCAACCCAACTGCATTACAGTAGTATAATGCCTTTTAGCATCTAGGTAATGGTAGAGGTGGATTTAAGCTGAAATTTTAAACTGAAATTACTAGTGAAACTTGTTATTACTAGTTGGAACCTGACTCCAATGTTATCTTTTAATCTGATACCTAAGCGTAAGAAAACTGAAGTCTCAGATAGGAATATTGGTTTGGGTTAGTCTGTAATTTTGGTTCAATTTTGTCATTAGCTTTTGCTGTAAGTTTTACCGGTGAGCAGTGAGGATATATATTTGTTTCTTCTTATTGAATTGCATTGTTAGAAATGGAAGTTCATTGCAAGAAATATGAGAGCTTGTAGCACAAATAGTGCACAAATGAGGTAGAATGTACTTTTTTTTAAAGTTAGTGGGGATAAAATGGAACTCCTCAATGGCTGGCTTCTGTGTCACTGGTTAGGCATATTCAACCCTTACAGACTGCAAAATGTTCATTAAACATTTTAAAGTATCGACTTAAAAGATTGTACAGAAATCCAGAAATTTTTGGAGTAATGCTTCCTATTCAGAGAGTTGAGAAAACTATGCATTTTAAAAACTTTAATAGCTGTAACATCTTTTAGGGGCTATTTCATGTGATTTCCATTACTTTTTATGTACTTGGATCAGAACAATCAATGGCATAGATTAACTGTTACACTTTTTATCCTTCTAGCTGGAGGAGCAATCGAAAAATGTAAATCACAAGGAAGATGTGGTTGAATTGAAAAAAAGAATGCATGATATGTTGCTGGTAAGAGATGATTATAATTTGAATCATATCAATATGAATTAACATATTCAGTTAGCCTCAGTTGTATATTTGCTGCAATAGAGATTGTGGGATGTGGGTTGTTTGTTTTTGGTTGTTTTTTTGTAGAGCTAAGAAAAACACTTTTAAAGTTGCTCATGAGTGTATGAAGATCTTTAACATGGAAAATACCTTTCTCTGTAAATGCATACACATTCTAGGTATGACATTTAGAAATGGCTTGAGATCATGTAGTCCCTTTTCATGTGACTGAGATGGGCACAAAAATTCAGTGGTTTTTGCATGCCAGTTTAGTGACTTCTCTGTTGATTTAGAGTTACTTCATTTTCTTTCTCCCTATGTCCTCCAGTTTTCTAGCATTTCATGTTTTGTTTAATTTTGATAGTTTGCCATTAAAATATGTCAGGTGATTGGCAGCAAACATTTTTTTTTCTTTTTTAAGGAAAATCAGAAGCTAAAGAAAGATCTTTTAGAAGCACAGACAAATATAGCTTTTCTGCAGAGTGAATTAGATAGCTTGAAAAGCGAGTATGCAGATCAGACTTTGAACACTGAGAGGTAAGGTACTTCTCCATGATAATATTTTCACCACAGGAAGAAAACGTGTTATCTGATGTACTTACTATGTATGCAGTTGGTAACTGTTATTTTCTAAATTTGCCATGAATGATAGATACGCATTTGACACTTTACAAAGTATGCCATTACTACTGTTCACTTCTCTTGTCAAGTTTCTGAAAGATCAAGTTCTGGATATGAAGCAAATTCTCATAGTCTTGCAAGGAAATCCATTGATTTTGTTTGGACTTTGGTTAGGAGTTAAAGATACAGCATCACATACTTTTTACTCCATTACTTTCACTCAGATTAATATCTTTATGAGCATTAGGGAGAATAGATTTGGAAGCCTCCCATGTCAGTCTAAACCAGTTTTTTCCAAAGTAAATGAAACCTGTTTCTAGATGCTCATTTAAAGGAATGTAAATGACATTTTATCATATGCTTATCTTCAGATAACACAATGATATTCAAGGGGAAAGGATATATATATAATATAATTATATATAATATATATAATATATTATATATATTTTTATATATAAAATCCATATAATTATTTTGTTGATCATCTTTCACAGTCTTTGTTGAGATATAATGGCAGAGATAATTGAGTTTACCAAGTGATTTTGCTTTGCGCAAAATGGCTTTTTACATATTTCAACAGAAATGTAAATGTTTTTGAGATTATATATTTTCCCAATATATTTATCACCTCTTTTAAATGTTGTTTGCAGAGACCTAGAAATTATCCGAGAATATACTGAAGACAGAGATAACCTGGAAAGACAAATTGAAATACTGCAGTAAGTTCTTGGTAATTCATGTTTTTATTTAAAAAAATGGTGCTGACATATTTGAGGGTAAATGTTTTTTGTATACAAAAGACTGTCATGAGATTTGAAAAATATACCAAGTAAAACTACTGAAAGGCCTCAATTCTCATAGAAAAAAACAGTATTAATCTTTATCATTTCATATTAAGTTTGTGTTCTGTGTACTCAAGTCAGATACTCATGAGACAACATTTATTGCTGTGGCATCTGAGTTTTGTGTTTCTCGCTGATGTTTTTATTTTATCATCCTGCTTGACCAGTCTGATTTCCTTCTATGACCAGGTGACCTGCATAGTGGATGAGGGAAAGGCTGTGTATGTTTTCTCTCTGGACTTTACTAAAGTCTTTGACACAGTCTCCCACAGCATCTCCTAAAGAAGCTGGAGAATTATAGCATAGGCAGGTGCACTCTTTGCTGGGTAAAAAACTGGCTGGATGGCAAGGCCCAGATAGTTAGAGTGGACAGGGCTGGATCCAGTTGGTGGCCAGTCACCAGTGGTGTCCCTCAGGGCTCAGTTTTGTGTCCAGTCTTGTTCAATACTTTTATTAATGATCTGGATGAGGGGATTGAGTGCACCCTCAGTAAGTTTGCAGATGACACCTAACAGGGAGGAAGTGTTGATCTGCTTGAGGGTAGGAAGGCTCTGCAGAGGGACCTGAATAGGCTGAATAAACAGACTGAGCCCACTGTGTGAGATTTAACAAGGCCAAGTGCTGCGTCATAACAACACCATGCAACACTACAGGCTTGGGGGGAAGAGTGGCTTGGAAGCTGCTCAGAGGAAAAGGACCTGGGAGTGGTGGTTGACAGCTGGCTAAACATGATCCAGCAGTGTGCCCAGGTGGCCAAGAAGGTCAATGGTATCCTGGCCTGCATCAGGAATAGGGTAGCCAGAGGGACCAGGGAAGCGATTGGCTGCCTGTACTTGACACTGGTGAGGCTGCACCTCAAGTACTGTGTTCAGTTTTCGGCCACTTGCTACAGGAGGGTCATTATGGTGCTGGGGTGAGTCCAGAGAAGAACAACCAGGCTGGTAAAGAGTCTAGGGAACAAGTCCTATGAGGACAGACTAGGGGAACTAGGGTTGTTTAGTTTGGAGAATAGGAGGCTGAGGGGAGATCTCATTGCCCTCTACAACTACCTGAAAGGAGCGTGTAGTGGGGTGTGTGTTGGCCTCTTCTCCCAAGTGAATAATGCCACAGTTTTCAAGTTTTGTTTGCGATAAGTTAAATAATTTTTAATGTCTTATTCATGCTACTCCTGGAAGCTAAAATATGTATGTTTCCCTGTTAGGTCAGCTAATAGAAAGCTACATGACAGCAATGATGGTTTAAGAAGTGCACTTGAAAACAGCTTCAGCAGGTACAACAGATCATTGGTACGTATTTATAATTTTACTATGTTTTACTAGAAGATTTAAGAATTTAAAACACTATATGCATATTTGCTTGTATTTTGCTGGGTACTCAGAAAACTGATTTTTTTTCAGTGGACTCACTTTGGGTATATACCTGTGTAGCTGAATTTTGTAGGATTTTACTTATGTGAAATAATGAGATTTTTTTAGAGATGCTTTCTGAAGTGCTTGAGATTTATTTTTTTTTAATATCACATGGCAAGTGTATCTGAGAAGGTGAATAAATCAGCAATTTCTCTTGCACTGAAGTGACCATATTTGTTATATATATATATATATAGGAGTGCCCTATCACTGAAAACACACTTTTTTTTTTTCTCAGAATACTGCTTTATTTTAGTAGCAAGTTCTTAACCTAATTTGAACTTTTATCCATGCGAATAGCAATGACTGATGATAGTAGGGACCTCATCAGACCCTTTTAGGCTATCACAAATGTGTGAGGATGAGTTGTAACAAATGCAACCTGGCATACTCCGAAACAGAGACAGGAAGGCTTAACAGTTGTAAGATATCTACTTTACAGTGCCATTTTGCAACATTGGGAAAGTGTTAAACTCCAAAAGTAATGATTGGGCAAACCCTTACACCATCAGGAAAGCAGATAATTGTTTTAGAAGGATGAGTCTGAAATAATGGTCCCACAGAGACAATAGTTACCAGGAAGGAGGAAAAGTGGGTCATTACCTGTTTTCAGCATACCATACCAATGAATGTGTCTTTTGCTGATGTTTGCTTTGAGAGATTCACTGCGGATGCAACAAGAGGTATCATTTCCTTCTGCTACGCCCTGAACAGAAGCAAGAGAAGCATTTTACAGAGATGACAGAGGAAACTGTTCCCAGCGAATAAATATGTAGAGGGACAGTAGAACATACAAAATACTCTGTCATGTAGAGCTCTTCCCTTCTTTCTGCTATCTCACTCAAGATCCAGGAGCTGTCTTTACTGAAATGAGCTCAGCTAGTGGCATTTCTGTTTTCACTCTAGTAGTCAACATGCCATTAAAATAAGCCTCTTGGCTTTTCCATTGTCTTTTGTGGTTGAGTACAGCTAGCAACTTCAGTATTAATGCTACAGTGGAGCCAAAGTACTGCAAGTAGGAGGACTTTTGAGTAGTTAAACATATATAAAAATGAACAGCAGTAATTCTGATGTTGCACACTTTTTTCATGACAAATCTAGATTCTTATACTGTGTTCATCAAGCATATAATGCATTTGTTATGTACCTGTTGCAGCGACTAGCAAACACCTCACCAGGAAGTACCATTTCTAGAAGCAGTCCTAAATTTAATGGTGGGCAGTCTCCTCTAAACCCACGGTATGACAGGTAAGCTGAGTTTGCTTTTATTAAGTTAAAAAAGACTGGGGCTTCACACTTCTCTTAGAAGAGCAAATATTGTCGAGAGAGAGAGTAGATTTGTCTGATCCAGAAGGAATATGTGACTGTAACATACGATCCAAGTGTAATTGGAATCAATAGAAACATTTTCAGTGACTTCAGGAAGCTCAGGAAAACTTTTCTCAGTGCTAATCATGAACCTACAGAGAATTCAGATGCCCTGTTTTTTGGTCTTGGACTGTTTTGATTCTAGTTTGATTCTCAGTCACCTCTCTGTGTCTCCAAGATACTGTAAAAATCTACCAAGGATCTCTGTTAGCTAGCTTATTCAGGAAATAAAACATTTTTTATCCTATCTTTAGTCTGTGTGTCTGGTTTTTCCATGTAATAATGATTACAAAGGCATATAAGCCTCACTATTCTAAACAATAAACATCCTCATCTCACACTGACATGCAAGAGTAGTGAATACATGTGGATCTGTCATCATCATGTCATCACCTGTCATCACTATTTGGCCACTTGCAGGAAGGAATTATCTTCAACTCAGTAACAGCTTTATAATTGGTGATTTACCCCAGTGTTCAGGTCTGCCATTACACGGTGAGCTTCCAGCCCCTCTGGAAACAAACTGTCTTTGTAAGGCTTGATACTGACTTTGCTCTAGCAATTTAGTGTTGTAGAGCCATTCCCAATAGGACAGAGCTACACTCTTTTTTTATTCTCTGCTGTGACTTGGAGACCTTTTCTACCTCCCTTTACTTGGTGCATGTCCCTGTCTTGCTGAAGCAGCAGGTTAATGATTGTAACTATAGCAAACTTTTTAAAAAAAGGTTGGTTCGTATAAGATTTACTCTATTAATCTTCCCTTTCTTTACATTAATGAAAATTAAATTGTTTTTTCTGTAAGCCATACTGTCATTGCTGTAACCATTTGAGTATTATTATATATATTAAGGCATGCAGACTGACAAAAGAGAAGAAAAAAAAGAAAAAGAAAAAACAGGCCTTTAAGGGAAAGGGGAGGAGAAAGAAGGAACTTTCATGTAAAAATTTTAAGTTCTGTGTAGCCTGCCAAACTGTAAGAAAACAAGTTTCAGTGACTTCTTCTACCATTACTGATCTCCTGAACTCTGTTGTCCTCTGTTCCTATATTTATAGTTTTTACTTACTTGGCTGTGTGCCTCTGTGAGCAAATGCACCCATTTAAATTAGATACAGTATTTCAAAGTCATTTTACATGTCTTAGAATAGGCCAAAATTAAGTAAACCATCAGCTCTAATTATCTGCCTTTAATGTCTTCATAGTATACCACACATTGTTTTCTGAATATTTTTTTTTTCTGTGTATCAATAAAGAAGCATGCTTACTGAGACTCAGGAGGTCATAATTAATAACATAGATGATATATTTAATCTGAGCATCCTAAGAGATGTGATTGAAAAATAAGTAATTTAGAAAGGTGAAATAATAGGCATTAACATATGTATTAAACTGTAGAGTTAGCATTTCTAATTATTTGTTATTCTAGAATGGCACAGATTTTGTTGGGAAGAACAAATGCGGAATAATCCCCCCCCAATATTTTCTTATTAGATCATCTCATTCTTCTTGTGTGGATGAAGATTATGATTCTTTAGCCCTTTGTGATCCTATGCAAAGGATAAACTGTGAAGTTGACAGCTTACCTGAGAGCTGTTTTGACAGTGGTTTGTCTACGCTGAGAGATTCAAATGAGTATGACTCAGAAGCGGAATACAGGCATCAAAGGATTTTTCAAAGGTCACAGTGTATGCAAGAAAGCTTTGGTGGTGATGCTTCTGATACAGATGTAAGTGCCAGATTTACTCCTTCTCTAAGAAAGACCTTTGGTTGGAGACAAAATAAGTTTCCAGTTTTTAAAATGAAATAACCTTTGCCCATATGCCAACTAAAGCTAAGTATTTTAGATGCACACATTTAAATAAGATTAGTGACAGTTTATAGGAGAATGAATAAACAGTTACTCCTCTTTAAGATAAAATGTATGTTTTCACATTTTTCGTAGATTTTTGATGTAATAACTTCATTTTTGAAGTACACGGTTGAAGGTTGTTAAACAGCATGTAGACATGAGCCCTTTTTCTAATTATTAAAAAGCAGATACTATAGAAGTAAAATCTGTTCACTTTCTCTTACTATGCTGTGGCAGTGAATGAAAAAAACACATATATGAGAAAAATAGAACTTTTAGTGCATATATTGACTTACATAGTAAGTCTCTGAGAATTAAGAAACGTAGGAAGGTGTTATTCTTTCCATTTTATTTTTAGTAAAATCAAGAGCTTTACTGATGACTGTGTAGCAAGAATAGTATCAAGCACAGCGGATCACAGGGGCTTTTTAGAGCAGGTGCTTTACTGTGCATTTAGTAGAGATGTATATATATTCTCTGCAGTTAAAAATGCTATGAGTAGTGTTGATTTCAGTTGTCCTGTATGTAATTTCACTTGAGTAGTAATTGCATATTGAGTAGGAAAACTCTTGTTTTTTGTAAAATAAGCTTTGAAATAAAGTATTTGTTTATTTTAATTAATTTTAATCTGAAATTGTCCCTAGGCAAATTAATGTGGTCTACTGCAAACATTACTGAAAGTGTATATATCAGATAGGAAGTACTTTTAAGAACCAAATGTAGGCTGTAGTAACCAGCAAATGTGAATAAGAACAGAATTAGTCCAGTATTTTGAGTAGAATTACACAGCTCTATTTGGTCCTTTGTCTGTTTAATCCAAACTGATAAATTACTTATTCAGTTTTAGCTGTGTCTTTTGAAAAAAAGCATGCTTTTCTCACTGGTGCTAACACACTTGCTTTTACTTTCAGGTTCCTGAAATCAGGGATGAAGAAGTGTACAGTCCTGATAACAGCAGTACAGTTTTAGACTGGAAGCCCTCACGACCAGTAAGTCGAAGCAGCTCAATTGCTTCAGCAAGGAAACACATATCTGCTCTCACCCCTCAGGTAACTGGTTCTTTCGGGTGGAAAAAAGAAAGAAAGAAAGAAAAAATGTTAGGTATAGAGGACATTTTTTAATATGAGTTGAAATTCTTTTATTTTCAGTCAGATGCAGCTGAGTGTTCTCCAAAATACCCCAGTTCAGAGAAGGCTTACAAGATTGTTCTTGCGGGAGATGCAGCAGTGGGAAAATCCAGTTTCCTTACAAGACTCTGCAAGAATGAATTTCGAGGCAATACAAGTGCAACCCTCGGTATAGTTACTGTTCTTAAAATACTAAAGTGCATATCATTGTTGTTCTGCAGACTTGGGTGAAAAGATTACCCATTGCAATGAATTACCCCTTGCAATGAATTTGCTTTCCTGAATATGCACGTGCAGTTTCTTAGGCTGTGATACCTAATTGAGTACTAAAGCTTAGAATTGCCTAACTGCTGTTTGGAGTGAATAGCAGGGTACTGCTCTAATCTAGTTTCTTTTTGCAAGGCACAAAGCCTGTTTGGGAACAACACAAAGCACTAGAAAGAGGAGTTTCAGTATAATGAACTTGGAATGTGTGTATGATCCTTTTCACTATTTTCATTGATTTCGTGTCTTCTCAGCTCTTTTGGCCTTCCTCAGTATTTCACATTATGCTTTGATGTCTTTCATACTACCTTTTGTCTCCATTTCTTTGAAGTCTATTGAAGCTTTGGTTTAAATGCAGCTGGAGGGATTTCTGACTGGCTTGTTGTATATATTATTATGGCTGTCAGCTAACAAACTAGTCTTAGTGATTCCAAAGACCAGATTTTTGCCTTCCAATCAAATCACAGTTATGTATTTGTATTACTGGCTCTGACCCAGGATTTTTGCTCTAATTAATCTTTTTCCTCCTTGGCACTTGAAATAAATTCTGTTTTTATAAAAAATTTTCTCTACTTCCATAAATCTGTTCAGCAAAATAAAGCAGAGAGGGATCTTCTTATTTGTTGGTCAAATTTGTATCAGCACTTCTGGGAAAATGTGAGGGCAAAATATTTCTTTAAATGTTTTTCTAAGGACAAATTAAATACATTCAAGAGATTGATTATTGTAATTCAAGGCTATGTGACATACTGAAATCTCGTAATCTATTAAAAGGGATGAATTTTGAAATAAGCTGTAAATGACACATAGCTATTAATTTTATGAGTTTTTTTTAAGGTTATTAATGTTTTTTATTAGACTACACATATTCTTTTCAGGTGTGGATTTTCAAATGAAAAGACTAATTGTTGATGGAGAACCTACAGTGCTACAACTATGGGACACAGCTGGGCAGGAGAGGTTAGTGATCCTCTGCACTTACATAACCTCAGTATTGGTTTGTTTCTGAAAGACGTTTGCCTTTTTTCATCTAGATGAAAAAAATTCTACTAAATATTATATGGCCCTATTGTAAGTAAGTGAGTAAAGCCATATATAGATGTCTATACACAGATGTGATTTTGCTTTGGTGAGACCCCAAGAAAGGTGGAATGTTTGTTAGCTTTGGTGATGCCTGACATATCTCTGCGGAGAGGAACAGTTGAGGTTAACTGTAGCATTAATTAATTAAATCCATCTGTCCCTCTCTTGCAATACAAAAATATGAGGGTGTACATTGTTTCTTCCATTTTTAGCCTTTTGCTTTCTTTGTCCTTACAGACCTGGATTTCTGAGCAGGCTTTATCTTAGAGAGTCCCTTCTCCTCTCCTTTTCTTGAAGTTCTTGATCCTGATTTGCATTGTATTTAGTACATGAAAACTTCTCCCTAAAGACTTAAAAAATTTCTGGCAAACTTGTACAGATTACTGGATGTATATCTAAAATTTTTCAAATTACTGTGTAGAGTTTCCTCAGAATTTCATTACATCCCTACTTGACAGCCATTACTATTTTACTAATTTTGGGGGCTTCTTTACAAGCTTTTGGGGCTTGTAAAGAGGTTAATCTAACTCACTTTAATCAGCTCATTGACCAAGATTTATATTGGGCTGTATGTGTTTACTTTTACTTGAATGAGTGATTATGTGAAGTAGGCAGAGGCTAAATTACTCTCCTCCCACGTAATGAATTTGTGAAGAACATTTTAACATATAATGTAAAAACCTAGTTGTTGTACTTGTTTATTAAGCAGATTGTGTTACTTTAACAGCAAAGTTGACTGTAACTGATTGATTCATACCTGGAATAAGTGTATTGGTTTCATATTTTTAAAATGTAGCAGAGTAACACACTCTACTTAGGAAGTTCTATATGAGTGAAAAAACTCTGCCCTCTAATCAAAAGCTCAGTGCAAAGCAGAATATTTGGAATAGATACACTGGAGATTGTTTTGATACAAAAAAAGTTGCTTGCTGTTTAGGACAGAATCCTGTGGAACCTTATTGGGCATTTGTAGGCCTGCATCACCAGTTTTCAAGAACTACTTATGAAAGAAACTAGGAGAAAACTCGTAATGTGGAGATAATCTTACTCAGTAGTGCAATAAAGTAGCATTGCATTCTTAATGATGTTAAATTGAATTCTTTTTTTAATATGTCTTTATGCAATTTTTTTTTTCTGAAAGATTCAGAAGTATTGCTAAGTCATACTTCAGAAGAGCAGATGGTGTCTTACTGCTATATGATGTAACATGTGAAAAAAGCTTTCTCAATGTGCGAGAATGGGTGGATATGATTGAGGTAAGATCTCTAAGTATATCCAAATTACAAACTGCCTTTCACTGTATTTTTAACCTTATTCTTTGAAGATTTGAGTAGCTGTATATTGGAATTAGCCAGAGTGCAGTCTTGCATAGAAGTAAAAGCCACATGTAAATCCTAAATGTATCCTGGTGCATTCATTTAGTGTTAAAACGGATATATCTTTTTGCATAGAAGAGTATCACGTAATCACGGTCTTCCCATTCACTTCCTATTGAAATGAGCATGAGAGGCTATTTCAGATACCTTCTTGTAGACGGCTTGAGTATTTTTTAGATTCTCTGCATTTTTAACTAGTATGTTAGGTTCTGTACATTATAGCTCAAGTGAAATTTTCAATACTTCTTTCTACTAGTACATCTTGTCTGTTTATTTGAATAAAAATTTGAATTTAATGAACAAAACTTTTCTCTTATACCAGATGTGTTTAATAGGAGGGAAAGTGATAAGATCTTTAATTAATCTATGAATGAAATTAATTTTTCTAAATCATGGTAAAGGAGCTGATCACTTTTACCATTGTAATTCTTTCTTACAGCATTTAGATACAGTAACCGTTTCCATTAGATGAACATAAGACATGAAATTCCTTGCTGGGAAACAGGTTTTATGGGAATGGAAGCATATCTTTGCAGGCTGGTTTAGCTGGCTCCTTGTATATTGACTAGCTTATCAAAAGATCTCAGCATGACTTTCGTAATTTCTCGTTTTTTGTGATGACATGCAAGACTTTTTTTTCTTTTTTTTGTGGGAGGTAAATCAGTATAACATCACAATCCTAGTTGCTTTTTTGTATTCTGAGTGTTCTAGCAATAAGGAAATTAAATCCTCTTTACAGGATGCAACTCATGAGAATATTCCAATTATGATGGTGGGAAACAAAGCAGATCTCCGCCAAGCTGTTACAGAACAAGGGCAAAAATGTGTGCATGTAAACTATGGAGAAAAGCTGGCTATGGTAAGGTCCAGGTCTACCACTTTGGCATAAAATAGTCTTAAGGACTTTAATCACAGAATTGTCAGCATTGGAAGGGACCTCTAGAGATCATCATCTAGTCCAATTCCCTCGCTAAAGCAGAATCCCCTAAAGCACATTACTCAGTGCCACATTCAGGTGGATTTTGAGTGTCTCCAGAGAGGGGAACTCCACAACCTCCCCATGGCAGTCTATTCCAGTACTCTGTCACCCTCATGGTAAATAAGTTTTTTCTCTTATTTAAATGGAACTTCCCTTGTTCCAGCTTGTAGCCATTGCCTCATGTGGGAAACCAGTAAACAAAAGTAATTTACTGATCGTTAGTTCAAATCTAGTAATTAATTCATGGATACTTTTCATTAAAACAATCCTATTTTCATGGTGTTTGCTTGGCTAAATCACATCTTAGTGTCCTCTGAGCTGAACTTCATTATTGGTTGAGATAGTCTTCTCAGCCTTTATGGCAAAAAAGTGCATGGACTAGGAGATTGAGTTTTTCTTCTGCCAAAGAAAAACTGCCAGTGAAAGTATGATGCACACTAATGAGCACATGAGGCTTTTTGCCTGGCTGTCCAACTTTGTGTGGATTATTTTCATCTTCAGGAGACTATCTTGTATTCCTGCTACATCTGCAGAAACAGAACCAGAACTCTGCTGTAAACAGAAGTGTGGACAAGTTTTTTGCATGTATTTATATGGAGGACAAGGGAAGCACATATCCCGTATTTTGCAGAAAACCAGTAGAGTCTTTAGAATCTTGAGTTGCTGAGTGGCTGTGCAATGGATTGATTATACCTGGGCAGGTATCATGTTTGTTCTTACAGAATGGTATTTCTGATTCAGCTAGAATACCAGATGCTGTGGTTCATGAGTTGCTAACAAGCTGAATTCAGTAACCTGTCCTAACAACTCTCTTCCTATTTCTGCAGTCTTTTGGACTACAATTGAGTTTGGACATTAAACTTATGATGTGTTTTCTATTCAGTTTGTTAATTCAGAATATACAGAGTATAAAAAGATACAATTAAAAAGCTGTTACTGGGTTGTGTTGGGTTTTTTTTGTTTGTTTGTTGGTTTTTTTTCAGTACTAAAGTGAGTATATTGGTGAATGAAGAGTACCAAAAGAAGCCCTGTTCATTTAAATGCACATCATCGTTCTTAGTATTATCGAGGAAAGCATTTGTAATTGAATACACATTTTCAGATGGAAAAAAAATAATCAGATTAGTTGGCTTAACATTTTATTTTTACTCACAGACTTATAATGCGCTATTTTGTGAAACAAGTGCTAAAGATGGATCTAATATTGTAGAAGCAGTTCTTCATCTTGCTCGGTAAGTAACCATGTTTCTATTTTTGAATAAACACATCCAAGTATATTTTATAACAAGGACATTCTATGTGAATGTGCATACAAAGACATGTACATTTAAAATTGTACCAACGTCAAATTCAACAAACTAAATTTAAATAAAGAATACCATGTTAAATCATTATAGGGAAATGCAAGACACTATTACTCTCAGGTGGATTAAGTAACATATTTGCTTGCAAATGTTACAATGGTAAACAGGGTGCTAGAAGATAAAGGAGCTCAAGATAGCTGGTCAACATTCAAGGACCACTTCTTGCAAGCACAGGATCAGAGCGTCCCAATGGTTAGGAAATCTAGTAAGGGTGCTAGGAGACCTGCATGGTTAAAGAAGGAACTACTGGGCAAACTTAAGTGGAAAAGGAAAATCTACAGATCATGGAAGGAGGGGCTGGTCACGTGGGAGGAATATAGGACTGTTGTCAGAGGATGTAGGGAGGCAATTAGGAAAGCTAAGGCCTCCTTGGAACTTAACCTTGCAAGTTAGGTTAAGGATAATAGAAAGGGCTTTTTCAAATACATAGCTAGCAAAACTAGCAGTAGAGGCAATATTGGCCCATTGAGGAATGAAGTGGGAGCCCTGGTGACAGAGGATATAAAGAAGGCAGAGGTGCTGAATGCCTTCTTTACCTCTGTCTTCACTCCTGCAGGGTCTCCCTATGAGCCCCAGATCCCTATAGCCCCAGAAGAAGTCAAGATAGAGGAAGAGTTTGACATGGTAGATGAGGATTGGGTTAGGGATCAGTTGAGTAATCTGGACATCCATAAATCAATGGGTCCAGATGGAATGCACCCAAGGGTGCTGAGGGAGCTGGCGGAGGTCATTGCTAGACCACTCTCCATCATCTTCAGTAAGTCATGGGCAACAGGTGAGGTGCCTGAGGACTGGAGGATAGCAAATGTCACTCCAGTCTACAAGAAGGGCAAGAAGGAGGACCCGGGTAACTATAGACCGGTCAGCCTCACCTCCATCCCTGGAAAGGTGATGGAACAACTTGTTCTTGTCACTATCTCCAGGCACATCAAGGACATGGGGGTCATCAAGAGCAGTCAACATGGTTTTATCAAGGGTAAATCATGTTTGACTAACCTCATAGCCTTCTATGAGGAAATTACTAGGTGGATAGATGATGGTAGAGCGGTAGATGTGGTTTATCTTGATTTCAGTAAAGCATTTGACACCGTCTCCCACAGCATCCTTGTAGAAAAGTTGATCAGGTATGGGTTTGGTGATCAGGAAGTGAGGTGGATTAGGAACTGGTTGAAAGGAAGGAGTCAGAGAGTTGTAGTCAATGGGGCAGAATCTGGTTGGAGGTGTGTGACTAGTGGAGTCCCACAGGGGTCGGTACTGGGACCGGTGTTGTTCAACATCTTCATCAACGACCTGGATGAGGGTATAGAATGTACCCTCAGCAAGTTTGCTGATGACACTAAGCTGGGAGGAGTGGCTGACACACCAGAAGGCTGTGCTGCCATTCAGAGAGACTTAGATAGGTTGGAGAGTTGGGCGGGGAGAAACATGATGAAATTCAACAAGGGGAAGTGCAGAGTTTTACATTTGGGGAAGAACAACACCATGTCCCAGTACAGGTTGGGGGCTGAACTGCTGGAGAGTAGTGTAGGTGAAAGAGACCTGGGGGTCCTGGTAGACAGGAGGATGACCATGAGCCAGCAATGTGCCCTTGTGGCCAAGAAGGCCAATGGCATCCTGGGGTGCATTAGAAAGGGTGTGGTTAGTAGGTCAAGAGAGGTTCTCCTCCCCCTCTATTCTGCATTGGTGAGGCCACATCTGGAGTATTGTGTCCAGTTCTGGGCCCCTCAGTTCAAAAAGGACAGGGAACTGCTCGAAAGAGTCCAGCGCAGAGCTACGAAGATGATTAGGGGAGTGGAACATCTCCCTTATGAGGAAAGGCTGAGGGAGCTGGGTCTCTTTAGCTTGGAGAAAAGGAGACTGAGGGGTGACCTCATCAATGTTTACAAATATGTAAGGGGTGAGTGTCAGGGGGACGGAGTTAGGCTTTTCTCAGTGATGACCAGTGATAGGACAAGGGGTAATGGGTGTAAATTGGAGCATAGGAAGTTCAAGGTGAATATCCGAAAAAATTTTTTTACTGTAAGAGTGACAGAGCACTGGAACAGACTGCCCAGGGAGGTTGTGGAGTCTCCCTCACTGGAGACATTCAAAACCCACCTGGATGAGTTCCTGTGTGATGTACTCTAGGTGACCCTGCTCTGGCAGGGGGGTTGGACTAGATGATCTCTTGAGGTCCCTTCCAGCCCCTAAGATTCTATGATTCTATGATTCTATGAAATGTTAGAAGACCTACCAAGCTGGTGAAAGATCTGAAGAGTAAGTCCTGTAAGGAGAGGCCAAGGGAACTGGGATTGTTTAGTTTGGAGAAGAGGAGGCTGAAAAAAGACCTCATTGCTCTCTACAGCTACCTGAAAGGAGGTTGTAGGGAGGTGGGAGCTGGCCTCTTCTCTCAAGTGAATAATGACAGAACAAGAGGAAGTGACCTGAAGCTGTACCAGGGAAGGTTTAGACCGGATACTAGAAAGAATTTCTTTACTAAAAGAGTGGTTGAACAGTGGAACAGGCTGCCCAGTGAAGTGGTGGAGTCATCATCCCTGGAAGTATTTAAAAGAAATACAGATACAGTGCTTAGTGACATGATTTAAGCACTGAACTGATAGATTAAGTTATGGTTGGTGGATTTAGGTTATGGGTGGTGGATTTAGGTTATGGTTGGACTTGATAATCTTAAAGGTCCCTTCCAACCAGGATGATTCTATGATTCTATAACACTATCTCTGTAAGATTTAAATTGGACTGCAGTTAGGTAGCTCACAATTTAAAAACCTATTTCGAGAATGGATTACATTTTTAATGGTACATGGATTTAATTTCTTAATTATTTTTTAAATTAACCTCAAATCCATATAATTCTATGTGTAATGAATTGTTAAATCACAGAATTGTCAGGGTTGGAAAGGACCTCTAGAGTTGATGTAGTTCAACTCCCCTGTTAAAGCAGGATCCCCTAGAGCACGACACAGGACTGCATCCAGGCAGGTCTTGAGTATCTCCAGAGATGGAGATTCTGCAAGCTCCATGGGTAGCCTGCTTAAGTCTTTCAGATATATTAATATATATTCAGTTTTATTGCTGACCATTCCAATGTATTATACTTTCTTTGAAGTCCCATTCTTTAAATTATTTAAAAGGTAGTAGTTCCAGGTTTATCCATTAGCAGCCTGATATTTCTGTGATAATGTGTAAGTCAAACGTTAGACTTCTACTACCTTTCCAAACCATTCTTGGTTGCAATGTAATTTTGAAGGGTTGGGAGTATGTAATGAAGCCTCAGACTCTGATTTTTCAGTTTAATACATGGAGCTCAAGACCAGAATTTCAAGCAATATCGATGTGATTTTTGCAGCAGCCTAGTGCATAATCAAACGTTTGGATGCTTGGTCACTATTTGATTATTAATTCTTAAAATACTACTTGGTAGCATGGCTTGCAGACAAATTACTGGCTCTCTAGAGAGGATCATTACTTCTTCAGGAGTATTTCCAAGAAAATCTACCTGTTGGAGAAGCAGCAAGAAGATAGGTGTTTATTTGTCTGTCAGTGTCAATGTGAAGTGAAATGCTGTTTCATTAAATGACTCAATAGCACAATTATCTGAAATTAATCACAACTGGAAAATTGTCTCTTGCGTTTAAACATGATAAATTTCTTTAACTGTTTCAAGTTTAAAAAAATATTTGGGCATCCTCTCTTTTCAGAATCTCAGAGAATACCCAACTCAGCTTGGGGTTTTTCTTCGTAAGGTTCATCGATCCTCAGAAATCTATACCTTAACTAGAACCTTGGTCTGGAATAGTTGGCTGTGTTTTCTTTACTGAAGTCTAACTAATTTGTATTCTTTGAAAGAAGTGTTGCATTTTGAAATTAAAAAAATTTAAATGAACATTTAATTGGAGCAAATAGTCTTAAAGACTTACCTGTTACCACCTCCTAGCATAATGAATTTATTTTACTAATATGAGGACAACTTAAATTATTTTCTCTCTCTGTCTCCGTGTCTCATATATGTGTGTATGTGTGTATATATATATATGTATATATACACACACACACACACACACGTATGTAATCAATCATGAAATCATATTGCTGGCTTTTAACATCCTAGGGGGCCCATAATAAGAATACAGATTAATAAACACTCATACATACAAAACTTTTAAGTCTGCATTTATAATAGAAATCCAGAATTCCTCAGAGGGCAAATCTTTGCTTGCAGTGGCAGTTACTTAGCTTTATATTTTCAACTATTCCATTTCTATGATAATATGTTGAAGTAAAAAAAAAAAATTAAAATTATCAAAAGGAGAGGGAAAACAGAACATTGTGGAGTTATTACATACCAGAAAGTAGTATATTTCTATCAGTAACTCTGATTTCTATAGAATTATTAATATTACTTCCACAGTAGAAACTTAAGAGACATGTTTATTCTGTGCCTTAAACCCCATAGTTTTATCCATGCAATAGATCATACTAAGCCCTGTAAGATATACTGGGAGAAATGGAACAGTTAATATGAGTAGAAATGTATTAATTTGATGCATTTTGTTTGTTTGTGCTTTTTTGCAGCGAAGTCCGAAAACGAAGTGATAATCAAGATGACACTAGGTCAGTGACCAGGCTGGCTGGGACACCTGTCAAAAAATTGGCACTCACGAAAAACTGTTGCAATGTTTAAATGACAGATACTTTTCCTAATCCTAAAGAATTTGTCTGCTTAAAAAAAGTTATATATATATATATATATATATATATGAAGGATTTCAAGAAATTGCACATTGTGTTAAAAATCTAGACTCTACTTTCTGATCATTCATGTTTATGCATTTGCTTTATCCCATAGGCTCTGGTTTCACTTTTCTTAAGTAGTACAAGTCAATGAAGTAAGCTAAGAATTGGTTGTACAGCAGTTACTGCATACAATATTGTAATATGTTTTATCTCCTTTACTTGCTTGTTTCTTTATGGGCTCACTATTTCTTACATACAGAACATAATAATATCTATCAGTCATAGGAAAAGAAAAAAAATTACAGCTTCAGTTAATTTTATCTCTTTTTGCTCATGTCTGCTTATATACTTTTTTGAAGGTCTCAAGTTATATGTTGATGAAACATTTCTCAAGAAAACCCCAAACCATTACAAGATTGCCTAGATCTAGGTAAACCCTAAGTTCAGGGTACAAAGTTGAATGGTCTCTGTTGGGAAAAGGCAGTTGCAGATGCATGGGGTTCTGGTGTAATTTCATATAAGTTTGTGAGTTAGAATTTATTTAATTTTGAGAGTTGGGGTTTGATTCAGAGCCGAGAAGTAGGCTTTACATCTGATTCTACACAGCTCAGAAGTGACAGGAACACTTGCATGGACCATTAACATGAAATTCTGGAGAGGTTATGATGCCTGTAATATGTAAGGTTACTGAGATGAATTAACGATCTAATACCTGCCTGTTTAGACTAGGTAATTGTTATCATTACAGAGAAATACGGTTGTAATTTTTCCCTTGTTTTTAAAATGCCTGCCATTCAGACACTAATTGAGGGACTGTAGTAGTATAGAGGAGTCTATTTCAATGGATATTCATTGTGTTTTTGAAGTTTTAAACCCGCAAGTGAAATAATTACTGCACATGCACAAGCATCTGTATAAACTATCTGTTAAAACAAGTCTCTGAAATGAACAGCAACTGTTGACCTTAATGAGGATTTCTTTGCCTGATTTTAGGAAAATTCTGAGAAACTCAGCAGTGGATGGTAGCTTTAGGTGTCAGCATCTCTAAAAACAGAATTATTATTGCTTGTAATAGTTCCAAATGGTCCTATAGTGTAGTATAAATCACAGGTGTTTCTACAGTCGTGATCCAGTTCTTCTCAGCTTTCACCAGTTTTCATGGGAATGGCAGAGGGCCCCTTTAGAGCCAGAAAACTGTTTCAGTGTTTGTATATTACTAAAACATCTCCAGGCTGAAACGTAAGCTCAGTAAATCAACCTTTCATAAAGGTTTATGGGCTGATTGGAAACCCATATGACTGGCAGCTGCTACTGCATATTATCAGCACTATATTTAAACACTCATAGCCTGTGCTGTGTTACCAGTTTTATGAAACAGGGGAGTTCTCAGAAGCAGAATGATACATTCTCCCGATCAGGTGGAGGCTATTGATGAAGCTTACTTACTTATTTCTTTCTTATTGATGAAGCTCAAGGAGACATTGCATTCACAGGCTCACATTCTGCTGGGGGATTTCAACCACCCTAATATCTGTTGGAAAAATAACATGGCAAGCTGTATACAATGCAGGACACTCCTGGAATGCCTCTCTGACAGCTTCTTAAGACAAGAAATAGACAGCCCTACCTGAGAGGATGCATTATTGGACCTGGTAGTCACAAGTTAACTCCTCAGGGATGTCAACATTTAAGGCAGCCTGGGCTGCAGTGATCATGCAGTAGTGCAGTTCACTGTCCTAAGGGGTGTGAGGCAGATGAGAAGCACAGTCAGGACTCCTAAATTTTAGGAAAGCAAACTTCCAGCCCTTCAAGGAGTTAGAAAATGGGCCCCTGTGGGAAGTGGCCCTCGGGGGCAAGGAACCAGAGCAGAAGTGGCTGATCTTTAAGGATGCTTTCCATAAAGTGCAGATGATCTCAATCCCCAGGTGTAAGAAGCTGGGCAAGGAAGGCAAGAGACCAGTGTAACTGAGTCGAGACCTGCTGGTCAAACTAAAGGCAAGATGGAGCTATACCACCAGTGGAAGCAGGGCCAGGTGTTGGGGAAAGAGGGTAGGGATATTGCCCAATTAGGGACAAGGCCAAGGAAGCCAAGCCACAGCTGGAGCTGAACTTGGCAAGGAATGTGTACAAAGAAAAAAAACCACAACAACAAACAAAAAACCAAGAAGTGCTTCTACACGTATGCCTGGGCTGCATCAAAAGAAGTTTGGCCAGCAGATTGAGAGAGGTGATTCTGCCCCTCTACTGTGCCCTGGTGAGACCTCACCTGGAATCCTGCATCCAGCTGTGGGTCAAAACATGTTTGGCGTACTTTTGTAGTTCTAAGGGTATCTTCACACACTATCTTATTCCATTCAGGAGTTTTCAGAGTTGTAGCATCTTTCCACCCAGCAGTACGAGCCACCTTACTGTAGTCTGGAGACTTACCTGGGGCAGGTGGCAGAGAATGATGGGGTTGCAAGTGTACCAGGAATATGCTTGGTTACATATATATTGTTTATTATTAACCCTTGATTATTTAAGGAAGAAAACTACAGCTGCAATTAGCTTGTCTGAGTAGAAAACCATGCTTAGCTGAGTGCATTGATGAGGGCCTCTTTGGTGTTCTTTGTCTGCAAAAGATTCTGTCTCCAAGGGAAGTAAAATTACTGTGTTTTGTACTTGCCGTTAGTTCTTCCTGCAAAAACAGGGAGGACAGAGGGATATGATCTAGTGTTTTCTAGTTATTTCTTAAGTGTAAGTTTATTATATATAGGTGTTTGAATTTTCTCAGGGTGAGAAGGTCATGATTTTAAGTTGTTACTTACATTCCAAACTGCTAACTTCTGTCAATTGACCTCTGCTGATTTGTAGAGTTTAGGCTGAGACTCAGTGTTCTGTATGTGTCTCCTGATCCACAGTGTTCGGCCAGCTTAGTCATCTTGGCCTGCAGTAAATGAGATGAAATATGTTTTCCTAAACCTTATTAACACACCTCCATGAACAAAACATTTTGCTTGGATGCAAGGAATCACATAAAGTTGTTTGCAGGAAGGATTTCTGCAAGTGGTTGTGTCCAACCTCCCAAGCACCCAAGCAGAGCTGGACTGTTGCCAACCTTAGATCAGGTTACCTATGGGTTTGGCTGGCTGGTCTGTGAAAATCTCCAAAGACACATAAACCATCACCCTTCTGGGCAACCAGTTCCTGTGTTTGCACTTCTCTTCTAGATTAAAAATTTCTTTCCATGTCCAACATCATTTTCTAAAGTGGCAGTGATCTTGGTTAACTCCCTGTTCATTATCTATAGCCTATGTAGATGTCCCTTGGCCTTCAATTCACAACCTTGTGAGGTTCCTCTGGGTTCCACATCCCAGAGTGTGTGTGCATGTGCAGTAATTGCTATCATATCTAAGATTCTTAAAATATAGAGTGATACATGTGAATGTTCATGCCTGTAGAGAGCTTGGTCAAAGTTTGTGGGTTCAGGGACCTGCCTGCCTTCATACCTCTATTTTCCTCTGTGCAGAACTGGGCCTTTGATACTTAGGGTACTTTTTAAAATTTATTTTAATGACCAAGATCTATTGTGTTATTTGGCCAAATTACATAAACTGAATAACTTTTTTTTTAAGCTCTGTAATATTTGTGTTGTGTAAAGCAACTTTAATTTGAAACAGTGTTGTTTTTTAAATATTATTCAGGGTTGGAAACAGTTAATAAAGTTTTACATTGGAGTAGTTTTATGGTCAATGTATAAATTACTAAAAAAGCACTACCAAGTGGGGATATAGTTATAGCTCAGCGCCATCAAGTCTGTGTATTCACGTAATACCATGTAGAATTCATGTTAAAGCAAAAGAACTTGGGGGAAAATATATATTAAAATTTAGAAAATAAAGCATGTCTTTATACTTGGAGATAATAAACAAAGAAAGTTTTCTGTTGTTTTGGCAAACATGAGCTTTATGCTCTGACACAGTTGCACTATTGTACTTTGAATGTTTTTACGGTTTTGTTTATTACAAAAGAACTATTCATTTAATCGCACAAAGTTATTTTTTTAGTTAGTGGATGTGTTCCCTTAATACATGTATTTATTTGAAAAGGAAAGGCCTTTCATGTTTTTCCTCATGATCTGTAAATAAGTAATTTTTATTCAGCTGACAAAGAAGTATTACTTCATTCTGTATGGTTTTTGACCCTTTTTGATTGTGGTATAGTGCACATCTCTGGGACAATAATTTCTGTGAAACATTCTGAATATATTTTGTTCACATAAGTTCTTGTAACCACTTTGTGCCTGTTTAGGATACATTAGTGGCTTAATAAGACAAGCTACAGCTTTTTTAATTGTTCTTGCAAGTACAGTTGTGGCCTAACATGATTTAAGTATTTTTCTTTGTAACTATTTTTGTATTGACTACAAAATTTTCTATTATTTTAGAAAATAATAAATTACAGTTTTAAATCTGTATGGCTTGTTGCAGTGTATTCCATGGAAAATATCTACAGGCTACTTCTGCAAGGAACATCATGTAGATGTGCACCCGTGCAGATCCCCAGTTAAGCTAATAGATTCTGTACTAGTGCATGCAATCTATTAATATATGATGCTTTTAAAGAGGTTTTCTTTTTTCCTTGGTCCACTGCTGTACAACAATGCTAGGTAATTTTTTAAGAGAAAGATACTTTAATGAAAGTTCCCTAATTCATAAACCAAAGTGAGGTATTTTTTTCATACAGTCAAGTCACTTAATTATATTACAAAGAAACCTACTTCTGACTGTATTAGGTATTTTTAAGAAGTGGACCAACAGTACTTGTGCAGTTCGAATGCCTTTTACCACTAGATCTGCTACATTTTGAAATAGCATGCAATGCTGTCCCTCTGACCCTAACCAGCATACTGGATTGGAGAAGCTTTTTACAGCATCAGTTATTTTAGTATTTCTCTCCCACTGTATT